TTCATAGGACTTGTTATTAATACTAATTTTCCTGGTTTAAATAATATATAGCATAATAGAACAAATGTAGTATTTTCAGTTATCCTGAGAACCAGCTATCGTTTATTCTGACATACTCTTTTTTAGTCTCCTACCATGTGGCAGACACTTATAAAACAAAAAACAAAAACAAAAAAAAAACAACCTTTTAAGTTCAGGGATAAAAGTGCACGTTTATTATGTAGGTAAGCTTGAGTCATGGAGATTTGTTATGCAGATTATTTCACTATCTAGGAATTAAAAAATAAACTTATAGTTATTTTTTCTTATCCTTTCTTTTCTCCAACCCTTCACCCTCCACCTTCTGATAGACCCCAGTGTCTATTGTTCCTCTCTGTGTGTCCATTTGTTGTCACCATTTAGCTGCCACTACTAAGTGAGAACATGTGGATTTTGTTTTCTGTTCCTGCATTAGTTTGCTAAACATAATGGCCTCCATCTTTATCCATGTTCCTGCAAAAAACATGATTTGTTCTTTTTTATGGTTGCATAGTATTCCATGGTGTATATGTAACATATTTCCTTTATCCAGAGTGCCACTGATAGGCATTTAGGTTGATTCCATGTCTTTGCTACTGTGAATAGTGCTGCAGTGGACATACGTGTGCATGTGTCTTTACGGTAGAATGATTTATATTGTTTTTGGTATATACCTTGTAATGGGATGACTGGATTGAATGGCAGTTCTGTTTTTAGCTCTTTGAGGAACTGCCACACTGTTTTCCACAATAGTTGAACTAATTTACACTCCCACCAACAGTGTATAAGTGTTCCCTTTTCTCCACAATCTCACCAACCTCTTTTTTTGTTTGTGTTTTTTTTGGTTTTGTTTTTTGCCTTTTTAATAATAGCCATTCTGTCTGGTGTGAAATGGTATCTCATTGTGGTTTTGATTTACATTTCTCTAATGATCAATGACGTGGAGCTTTTTTTAATAAGCTTTTTGGCCACATGTATGTCTTCTTTTGAAAAGTGTCTGTTTATGTTTTTTGCCCACTTTTTAATGTTTTTTTTTTAATAGATTTGTTTATGTTCCTTATAGATGCTGAATATTAGCCCTTGGTCAGATGCATAGTTTGCAAACATTTTCTCCCATTCTGTAGGTTGTCTAGTCTGTTGATGATTTCATGATGGCATCATCATCATGAAATCTTTGCCTGTTCCTATGTCCAGAATGGTTGCCTACATTGTCTTCCAGGAGTTTTATAGTTTTGGGTTTTACATTTAAGTCTTTGATCCATATTTGGTTGATATTTGTATATGGTCTAAGGAAGGGGTTCAGTTTCAATTATTTGTATATGTGTAGCCAATTCTAGCACCATTTATTGCATAGGGAATCCTTTCCCCAATTGCCTGTTTTTGTCAGGTTTGTTGAAGATAAGATAGTTGTAGGTGTGTGGTCTTATTTCTTGGCTGTCTATTCTGTTCCATTAGTTTATGTATCTGTTTTTGTAAAGGTGCCATGCTGTTTTGGTTACTATAGTCCTGTAGTATAGTTTGAAGTTGGGTAATGTGATGCCTCCAGCTTTGTTCTTTTAGCTTAGGATTGCCTTGACTACTCAGGCTCCTTTTCATATGAATTTTAAAATGGGTTTTTCTAGTTCTGTGAAGAATGCCATTGGTAGTTTGATAGGAATAGCATAGAATCTGTGAATTGCTTTGGCTAGAATGGCCCTTTTAATGATATTGATTCTTCCTATCCATGAGCATGGAAAATTTCTCGATTTGTTTCTGTCTTCTCTTTGAGCATGTTTTGTAGTTCTCATTATAGGGATCTTTCACCTCCCTGGTTAACTGTCTTCCTAGGTATTTTATTCTTTTTTTTTTGGCAATGGATTACACTCCTGATTTGGCTCCCGACTTGATGGTTGTTAGTGTATAGGAATGCTAATGATTTTTGTCTGTTGAATTTGTATCCCAAGACTTCACTAAAGTTCTTTATCAGCTTAAGGAGCTTTTAGGGCAAAACTATGGGATTTTCTAGATATATATTTTCACGTTGTGTGCAAAAAGATAATTTGACTTCTCTTCCTATCTGAGTAGACTTTATTTCTTTCTTTTGCCTGATTGCTTTGGCCAGGACTTCCAGTACTATGTCTAATAGGAGTGGTAAGAAAGGGCATCCTTGTTTTGTGCCAGTTTTCAAGGGGAATGCATCCAGCTTCCCCCAATTCAGTATGGTGTTGGTAGTGGGTTTGCCATAGATGGCTCTTAATTATTTTGAGGTCTGTTTCTTCAATATATAGATTTTTGGGAATTTTTAACATGAAGGGATATTGAATTTTATTTAAAGCCCTTTCTGCATATATTGAGATAATCATGGACTTTTTAGTTTTGAGATGATCGTGGGGTTTTTAGTTCTTTTTATAGGACGAATCACATTTATTATTTTTGTATTTTTTGAGATAGGGTCTTGCTCTGTCGCCAGGCACCAGGCTGGAGTGCAGTGGCACGATCTCGGCTCACTGCAACCTTCACCTCCCAGGTTCAAGCAGTTCTCCTGCCTCAGCCTCCCAAGTAGCGGGGACTACAGATGTGCACCACCACACCCAGCTAATTTTTATATTTTAGTAGAGATGGGGTTTCACTATGTTGGCCAGGATGGTCTCGATCTCTTGACCTCGTGATCTGCCCGCCTTGGCCTCCCAAAGTGCTGGGATTACAGCTGTGAGCCACCGTGCCTGGCCACATTTATTGATTTGTACATGTTGAACCAACCTTTATCCCAGGGATAAAGACTACTTGATCATGGTGGATAAGCTTTTTGATGTGCTGCTGGATTAAGTTTGCCAGTATTTTGTTGAGGATTTTTGCACTGAAAACTCCATTGGCCTGAAGTTTTCTTTTTTTGGTTGTGTTTCTGCCAGGTTTTCATATTAGGATGATGCTGGCCTCATAGAATGAGTTAGGAAAGACTCCTTCCTTTTCAATTTTTTTGAATCGTTTCAACTGGAATGGTACCAGGTCTTCATCTGGTAAAATACAGCTGTATACCTGTCTGGTCCTGGAAGTTTTTTGGTTTGTAGGCTATTTATTACTTATTCAATTGGAACTTGTTTTTGGTCTGTTCAGGGATTCAGTGTCTTCTTGGTTCAGTCTTGTGAGGGTCTGTGTGTTTCGGAATTTATTCATTTCTTCTAGGATTTCTAGTTTCTATGCATATGCATAGAGGTGTTTCTGGTAGTCTCTGATGGTTATTTGTTGTTCTGTGGGGTCAGTAGCAACATACCCCTTGTTGTGTCTGTTTGTGTTTATTTGAATCTTTTCTTTTTATTTGAATCTCTTTTCTTTACTAGTCTAACTAGTGGCCTATCTTAATTTTTTTTCAAATAACCAACTCATAGTTTTATTGATCTTTTCTATGTTTTTTGTGTGTTGATCTTCAGTTCTGCTCTGATTTTGGTTACTTCTTGTCTTTTGCTACCTTTGGGGTTGATTTGCTCTTGGTTGTCTAGTTCTTTTACTTGTGATGTTAGGTTGTTAATTTAAGATTATTCTAACTTTTCGAAGTCAGTTTAGTGCTATAGATTTTCCTCTTAACACTGCCTTAGCTGTGTCCCAGAGATTCCGGTATGTTGGATCTGTGTTCTCATTAGAACTTCTTGATTTTGGGCATATTTCCTATATGCTACAGGTACAGCTGATAACAAAATTGACAAATATACCTTCCTTCATATTCCATATATCCTAGCAGAGCTAATAATTTTTGTATTAAAAATATATGTACAATCACAGAAACTTATTTACAGATGTATATAACCTTTATATAAACTAAGAATTGTATATTCTGCTTTAGGTAATTTCTATTTGAACTACTTTTCATCAGAAAGGGTCAAAAATAGATTAGTTAGTAAGTTGGAATCACAACTTGTTACACTTCAGCTTTGTGTTTTATGTCAGAATGTTAGCCTGCATTTAATCTAGGCTGCTCTTTCTTTTTGCTTTTGAACATTAAAAGTTGTAATTTTCAATGATTTATTGAATGATTATAATCATTTCAAATCATGAATCAATTTTGTAATATAAATGAAAAAGTTATTTAGGAATATTTTACCTAAAGATGTATTTCATTTTCAGTCCCAATGTAAAAGTTGTTCTTTGCCTAAAAAGTTGAGCTTATTATTATATTTTATAGATGAATGCACTTTTAATGAGATGTAATTCACTTTCCATACAATTATTTTATATTGTGTGATTCAGTGGTTTATAGTATATTCACCAGGCTGTACAATCATTTTCCAATTTCGGAATATTTTCATCACTCTCAAGAATACCACATAACTCTTAGCAGTTATTTCTACTTTCCCCTCCCACAGGCCCTGGTAACCACAAATCTACTTTTTGTCTCTATGTTTTTGCCTCTTCTGGCAATTTCATATAAGTGGAATTCTAAAATATATATATATATACACACACACACACACACACACACACACACACACACACACACACACACACGTTGGTCTGGCTGATTTCACTTAATATGTTTTCAAGATTCATCAATGCTGTAGCATGTATCAGTACTTCATTTCTTTTTATGGATGAATACTTTTCCATTGTATGGAAATACCACATTTTATTTATTCATCAACTTGGAAATTTATATTGATTTCACCTTTTGCTGTTATGAATTATGCTGATATGAGCATTTTAATACAAGTTTTTGTATGAGCATAAGTTTTTGGTGCCCACATTTCCTCAAAAAGACATATAGTTACAATATGACCCAGTTATGCCATACCGTTTTCCAAAGTGGCTGCACCAGTTTACAATCCTACCAGCAATGTATCAGGATTTGCATTCCTCCACATCCTTTCCAACGCTTGTTACTGTTTGTCTGTTATAGCTATCCTACATGGTGTAAAGTGATAAATAGCTTATTGTTTTTTTTTAATGTGGAATTATATAACAAAATATAATATATAATATAAACAAAAATATTTTAAAATCTTGTCTTTTAGGTGTTGTGCTTCTTTGCAGTGTACAAGGACTAGCAGTTAATATTGACCCAATCTTATATACATGGCTCATCTATCAGCCTCAGAAACGAACAAGTAGACATATGCAACAGGTAAGAGATTTTTACAATTTTTTTCTCCTAATAAATATTTTTCTTATTTAGTAGCATTATATATATCTTTTGATTGATCCTTTTTTTAACAAATGTACCAGATTTCCTTTGTCTCCCGCTTTACCCCTTTCAAACAATTCTATTCCTTATTTTTGCATGAGAACTTGCATGCCAATATAAAGTTTCTTTGACTACTAATGGTGCTTTCCATACAATGGCTTGTAAAATGGAAACTAGTTTAGGAGTCCTGTTTCACTGGTCTTCATTTTTTCATAGTGCCTACATGTCTATTCTCACAGTGTGCAATACAGAAGAATTGCTCAGTAAATGAATTTTGGCTTTTGTTTTTTGTTTGTTTTTGTTTTGCTTTTGGGACACAGTTTCACTCTGCCTCCCAGGCTGGAGTGCAGTGGTGCTATCTCAGCCCACTCCCGGGTTCAAGTGATTCTCTCTCTCTGGACCACCTCACAGTTTCAAGTGATTCTCGTGCCTCAACCTCCTGAGTAGCTGGGATTACAGGCATGCACCACCGGGCCTGGCTAATTTTTGTATTTTTAGTAGAGATGGGGTTTCATCATGTTGGCCAGACTGTTCTCAAACTCCTAATCTCAAGTGATCCACTTGCCACAGCCTCCCAAAGTTCTGGGATTGCAGGTGTCAGCCATGGCGCCTGGCCGTCTTTTGTTTTTGTCTCTGCATTTCCTTGCCATTTTTTTTTTTTTTTTCCAGCAAACTTGCATTGAATACCTAATCCTGGGATTGGGATGATGGTGCAAAAAAGGTTGGAATATATGTTTGTTTAAAAAGATATAAATTACAAAGTAGTAAGTAGGCAATTATAGTTTCTAGAATACTTAAACATAATTCTGACAGTTTTATTATTTTCATTTTAAAGATGAAGAAACTGATGCTTATTGAGATTTACTTACCTATAGTCACACAGCTATAAGTAAATGGTAGAACTAAGAATTTTTGAGGCCAAATTTGTGCTTTGTTGAATTTCCCATCAACTTAAGTATAATTTTTCAATATCCTCTTTGGAATAGCTTTGTATCCTTTCTCTGAAGTAACTTCAAGCTAGTTGATGGGAGAAAAATATGCAATTTTATAATTATGTAAGAATTAAAAAGTTTAACGAAAAAGTATTATCTAACGAGCATCTTTTAAAGGTTTTTTTTTCCCCATTTATTTATTTTATTGCATTTTAGGTTTTGGGGTACATGTGAAGAACATGCAAGATTGTTGCATAGGTACACACGTGGCAGTGTGATTTGCTGCCTTCCTCCCCATCACCTACATCTGGCATCACTCCCCTTGCTATCTCTCCCCAGCTCCCCACCCCCCACTGTCCCTCCCCTATTTCCCCCCAACTGACCCCAGTGTGTAGTGCTCCCCTCCCTGTGTCCATGTGTTCTCATTGTTCAACACCCGCCTATGAGTGAGAACATGCGGTGTTTGATCTTCTGCTCTTCTGTCAGTTTGCTGAGAATGATGGTTTCCAGGTTCATCCATGTCCCTACAAAGGACGCAAACTCATCGTTTTTGATGGCTGCATAATATTCCATGGTGTATATGTGCCACATTTTCCCTATCCAGTCTATCGTTGATGGGCATTTGGGTTGGTTCCAGGTCTTTTTCTTTACTTTGTCCTAATTTTATTTGAAACTTCCACCATCCCTGTCCTCATTTTTCCTTTTAACGAGTAGTTACAGAATAAAGGCAGTATGCTATACACAGCCACAGAAATAAAAGTCATAGGTGAGACTATCCCTCCCTCTGAGAGTATTTAGTGTATTTGAGAATCTTAAAGGATATAGTAATGCCATTTTTAGTAATTACTGTATATATGTATGTCCAGGATTATGTGAAAACAGAAAAGAGGAATAGTTCTCACAGGCAGGGGAGTGTGTGAAAAGGAGGAATTAACAACTAAGCCGAGTAACCTAGGAGTAAGCCAGACAGGGAAGGTTGTTCTAGACTGAACTGTTTGAGCAAAGGCAAAGAAGATGTGAAGCATGGCAAGAAAGAGACTTCAGTGGTTCCAGAAGGGAGTCAAGTGTTCCTGTAGAGACTGGGAGAAATTGGAAACCAACTTCTAAAAAAAAATATTTGTAATCCTAGGTATTTGAGACTATATTTTGAAGGGTAAAGAAGAGCTATAGGAAACTGGTATAACAGATTTGGATCTTAGAAAGTTTACTCTAGCAGAATATAGAGAATGGGTGATAGAGAAGTTAGACTAATGGCAGTAAACAGTTGGGAAAAATTTTCGTTGTAAATTCTTGATTGGTTATTCTGTAAGTAATACAGTTACTTCCAGTGTACCATAGATATGTCTGAAGGTCAACAAGTAGAGTGTTCTAGCAGCTTAACTATATTAGACATTTATTTCATGGATACCAAGAATATTTAAATATTTTGATTTTTAACTCTTAAAAAATTACAGCTTTTAAAATGAATATACAGTCATGTGCCTTTTAATAATGGAAATTCATTCTGAGAAATGCATCATTAGGCAATTTTGTTGTTGTGCAAACATCATAGAATATACTGATGCAAACCTAGATGATGGTATAGCCTGCTAGACATCTGGGGTATAACCCGTCTCTGGTATACCTTATTAATCCTAGGGTACAAACCTGTACAGAGAATTACTGTACCAAATACCTTAGGCAATTGTAACACAAAGGTAAGTATTTGTATATCTAAACATAGAAAAGGTATAGTAAAAATATGCCATTGTAATCTTATAGAACCACCATTATATATGCAGTGCATTGTTGACTGAAACGTTGTGTGGTACATAATTATATGTATATTTTTCTAATTCAGAAATAATGGCTTTATTTAGAAACTAAACTACTTCTAATACTGATACTTTGGGAAGCAAGGTGGGAGAATTGCTTGAGCCCAAGAGTTCAAGACTAGCCTGGGCAACAAAGCGAGACTCTTTCTTTACAGAAAATAAAAATTAGCTCTGCATGGTGGTGCAGGCCTGTAGTCCCAGCTACACTGGAGATGGAAGTAGGAGGATTGTTTCTGCCTGGGAGGTAGAGGCTGCAGTGAACAATGATCATGCCACTGTACTGCAGCCTGGGCAACAGGGTGAGACCCCATCCCTAAAAATAATAAAAATAAAAGATAAATTAACAAATACCATAACTCCACTCATTCAGAGTTACAAAAAATGTTGGAGTATATGTCTCCATAGCTAAATCTTTGCATTCATCTTTATTCACTTAGAATATATTTTTACAAGCGTAATTAGTAGCACTAGGCAAGTATTTTGCATTTTAGAAATATATTTTAAGATTTTTGTTATATCACCAAATTGCTTCCAGAACTGGTATACAGTTTGCATTATCTTTTTTTTTTTTTTTTTTTTTCATACAGAGTCTTGGTTTGTGGCTCAGTCTCCAGTACAGTGCTATGATCGCAGGTCACTGCAGTCATGACTTTGTGGGCTCCAGCGATCCTCTTTTCTAAGCCTCCCGAGTAGTGGGGACCACAGGCACATGCTACCATGCCTGGTTAATTTAAAAAAAAAATTTTTTTTTAGAGATGGTGTCTCACGGTATTGCCCAGGCTGGTCTGAAACTCCTAGGCTCAAGTGATCCACCTACTTTAGCCTCCCAAAGTGCTGAGATTATAGGCATGATATATTCATGCCTATAATATAAGCATGTTTAGGCCAGTTTATATTTTAAACAGCAATTGATAGCATTACTATTTTACTACAATTTGGTGTACTCAAAAATACACTTTTAAAAGCGTCCTCAATCTACTATTTCAGTCTTTAAGTTCCCCCCAACAACTTCACCATGGAAAATTGAGAGAATTGCATAGTCGAATCATTTGTTTCCATACCCAGGTTCAATAATTATCAAGTCATGACCACTCATCTTTACTTTTAAAATTTATTAGTTGAAAAAAATGCTGATATACAGTATTGGTGAAAACGTAGAGAATGATTACTACTGTTGTAAGTGAAAATTTGGTAAATTCGTCAGTATCTAGGTAAAGTTGAAAATGAGCAGAACTTATAACACCAAACTTCTACTTCTTGATGTAGGTATGCTCTTACAGTGAAATTCATATAACTAAGGAATACTGTATAAGACTGCTGTTGCACATTCATTACAATAATGTGAAAATTTCAAAACCTAAACGAAAATTTGTAAGAAAGTTGATAAAGTATGAAATATTCACGATATAACATTTATTAAAAATTATGCAATAGACCTTAATATGGATGTCTCAAAATTATATTTGATGCAAAGGCAGTTTCCCAAGGATGTATGCAATCTGAGAGCACTTATATATTTTTTTCTAAAGCTACCCTTAATATGTATGTGTATGTGTGTCTGTAAGTGAAAGGCATAAAAATTAAGTTGAGGATTTGTACTAATATCACAATAATGGTTGACTCTGGGAGGAAAGGGCAGTAGGTTGGTAGTCAAAGGGGATTTTAGTATTATCTATAATAGTAATTTAAAAAAGCAAATATGATAAATTGTTAATAGCCGTTAATTATTGGTTATATTTTGATATTTTGTATTCTTTGTAATCCTTTAGTTTTTTTTATTTGTAATTAATTTAAGATGGTTACCTTTTATAGGATGCAGCTATGAAAAGCTTTAGGTATTTTGGGATTATGGGACATTTTTAGGCTTAAGGTAGAACAGATATGGGGCTAGAGTGCAACTGAAATTCTAGGAGAGCTGCAGTACCAGAAGGAAAAAGAATATAAGCAGGATAATAGGAGGTTGTTAAAAATAAATACTGCTGGGCCAGGCACGGTGACTCACACTTGTAATTCTAGCACTTTGGAAGGCTCAGGTGGGTGGATCACAAGGTCAGGAGTTCAAGACCAGCCTGGCCAATATGGTGAAACCCATCTCTACTAAAAATACAAAAATTAGCGGGGTGTGGTGGCAGAGACCTGTAGTCCCAGCTACTCGGGAGGCTGAGGCAGGAGAATCACTTGAACCTGGGAGGTGGAGGTTGCAGTGAGCCAAGATCACGCCACTGCACTCCAGCCTGTGCGATAGAGCAAGAGTCTGTCTCAGAAATAAACAAACAAATAAATAATAAATAAATACTGCTTATTTTGATGTTTTTGACAAAGGTAGTCATATTCTAGAATAGTGGAGGAAATTACTGGTCTTACTTCTCTGGTATCACTTAATGCCTGATATGAAGCACGTTTATTAGCTGTCATTCAACAAATATAGGTACTTTGTATACAGGTGTGTATAAGGCATACAAGAGCCTTACTCTTGTGTTAGAAAGTGGTTTTGCTAGGCCTTGGCCTTTTAATTCTTGGCTGTGTGAAAATACACCCAGACTTGGCTGGGCACAGTGGCTCATGCCTATAATGCCACCACTTTGGGAGGACAAGGCAGGTAGACCACAAAGTCAGGAGTTCAAGACCGGCCTGGCCAAGATGGTGAAACACCATCTCTACTAAAAATACAAAAATTAGCCATGTGTGGAGGCAAGTGCCTGTAATCCTAGCTACTTGGGAGGCTGAGGCAGGAGAATCTCTTGAACCTTGGGGGAGAGCACGGAAGTTGCAGTGGGCCAAGACCACGTCACTGCACTCTAGTCTGGGTGACAGAGTGAGATACCATCTTAAAAAAAAAAGAAAGAAAAGAAAATACACCCAGAGTTTTAGCTATCCAAAGGTTTTTTTTGTTTTTTGTTGTTTAGTATTGCCAGTACTATGAAAATTTATTGGATCTATAAAACTTTGTGCTTTCATTAGTTGCATCTTTCAGCTATTATGCTTGAATTCAGATTGAATTCACACTGTATTGCATGTGAATTTTCTCTACTTATTATATAGTCGACCCTAGAACAACACCAAGGCTAGGGACACCAGCTCGCAGCTTGGTCAAAAACTTGTGTATAACTTTTGACTCCCTCCAAAGTTAAATAATAGCCTACTGTTGATCAGAAGCCTTAACAATAACAAATAGTTAATGAACATCTATTGTATATATTATATGTGTTATATATGATATTCCTACAATAAACTGGAGAAAAGAAAATGTTATTAAGAAAGTCACAAGGAAGAGAAAATACAATATAGGATGAAAGTAGATTATTCCTGAAGGTCTTCATGTTGAATAGTAGGCTGAGGAGGAGGAAGAGGAGGGGTTTGTCTTGCTGTCTCAGAAGTGGGAGATGTGGAAGAAAATCCACATGTAAGTGAACTCATGGGGTTCAAACTTATGTTGTTCAAGGGACAGCTGTATATTAATTTTAATCCTGAACTTGGTTCTAAGTTTTTAGAGTTTGGATTGTATTCCAGGTATATAAATGGACAGAAATTCAAGGGATTATGGAGTCACTAAATATTAGAGCATCAAGAGGTTTTCCGGTAAATATCTCTACCCCTCATTAATTTTTAGATGAAGAAAGTAAAATGCATCAAAGCTTAACAGCATGTGGAGCATTTCTCATCTAGGCCTTAAAAATGATTTCCAATTTAGATTTGTATATTATCAGTTTGACTAAATACTGGATATAAAAGCAGGTACTCTCTATGTTGTAATGCTTCTGACAATTTATTTAATCTTTTCCTTCTCCCATTTTTGAATTTCTTCTCCTTTTATTAACTCAGCCTGACTAGCAACTTGTAAAATAATATGCCCTTTTCCATGTCAGAACATGATTTTATTATATAGCCATATAATAAACATGTTTTCATTGAAATACTTTTTCATAATGTAAATTATATTGAGTATTGTAAGTTAGGTGAGGCTTAAGGTTGGATCTATAAAACTTTGGTTGGGGTATTGAAGATAACATTAGAATACACTGCAGCCTGACCAACCGCCACCAGATTCACCATCTGATACAGCTGTGTTACATTATCATCTGTTATTTCCCAAGCTACAATTTCCTTCTCAAATTGTGGCTAAAGCCCAACATTTGGTGATTGTTTTCTAACCACTTCAGCACTGATCTTTGATCCTATGGCAAACTTAAAAGTGCCCCTTTTTTTTTTTTTTTTTTTTTTTTGCCAATAATATGACAGAGTTGTATTGGGCATCATCAGCAGTAACATCAGACTTTATTTCAGTGAATAAAGATGAAACAGCTGCTTTATTGTCCAGCTCAGCTCTCATGCATTCAATAGAGGATCATAATATTTTTCAGCAATTTTTCTCTAACTATATATTTTTCTGTGCCTTCTGAATATGCTATGGATATCTTTTGTGAGACAAAATACAGAGATTTTCAGTATTCTTCAAAAAAGTTGGACTATTCATATTAACATGTACATAATCAGTTTGTAAAAGTATGTTTCTAAAAATATTTTATAAGGATAACTTTATAAGCATTCTTTTCCATTTTTTGAAATCATAATTTTCAAAGTGAATTTTAATTTTAACTTGCTCTTTTTATATTAGTTTAATACTTCTTACTAAAATGGTTTCTGGGTACTTACAGGCTCTTTGGTTTTTACTTAGAATTTTAATTTAAAATTTAAGTGGATAAGCATTGCTCTGTGTGTGTGTGTGTGTGTGTGTGTGTGTGTGTGTGTGCACGCGCGTGTGTGTGAGAGAGAGAGAGAAATTTAAAGGGTGGGGTGCGGGGAGAGATGACTGGAGAGAGGGAGAGATTGATTGCTTTAAAAGAATGAAGTCTCAGCCCCAACTTCTGAAGGACTGTCCTCAGTATTGCCCTGTTTAACCTTTGCTGCTTAAGAAATAGTGACTAATTCAGTTTTTCATTTTGGCTCTTTCCAGCAACCTGTGGTAGCTGTTCCTCTTGTTATGCCAGTTTGTAGAAGGAAAGAGGATGAGGTGTCTATTGGAAGTGCACCCTTGGCAAAGCAACAGTCATATCAGGCCTCTGAATATGCCAGCAGCCCTATAAAAACAAAAACAGTAACAGGTACGTGTCAAATACTGTAACGGGATTATGATTTTACTCCACTTTGAAGCTATTAAGTTAGCATCCACAATTTCATGGATGCTGGCCAAAGACATGAAACTCCTCAGGTCAAGACAAAGAACTTTATTATCCACAGCATTAGTCACAGTATTAGCATTTTCTTGTGTTAGTGCCCTGAGCTCAGTTTCCCGTAGATGGCATGAAGAGTGTGAGGAATTCTGAATTTAGGGAACCTGAACCTTTTATAATGGATAGAAAGCATGCCTGCCCTTTTAACCAGAGGGAGGCACTATGTCTCCTTTGCGAGGGTGTAAGGAAACTTGCCTTTTGCTCAGATGCAGGATCATATTTCTGCCTTTTGAGGCTATTCACTATGCAAACATCCTTAAAAACACAGTAGGGAACAAAGACACTCACTACCTCTACTCATAGAGAATTGTCTCTCAATGGTATGTTCCTTCTTTAAGTGAATTCCTGAAAACCACAGTACATCTTAATCATCTTTCCTCCCCTTTCTCTCATACTCCCAGCTAGATCATCTGTGCAAATATAAAGTGTAACTATTCTTCTATAAAATTAATTTATTTTCTTTTGTGTAATAAAAAAGAATTTTACATATATAATTTGGCAATATATAATAAAAAAAGAACTTTTATTATTTTATTTTGTGATTTTTTTTTCCTCCTTAACCTCTAGTTTTTATGATAATTGGCCACTTTTCTTTGGATAATTTTATATCTTTTCTTCAGCTTTATTTCTTACAACTCAGATATTCCCAACCATATTGAAAGAGGTTTTATAGTTTCAGTAAGTCAGAACCACTTATCAAGGCTTTTATGGGCAAGACTGTTTTAAGTGCAATTGAAGGCAGAAATATTAATAAGATGATCCCTACACTTAAAGAATTTAAAATACGATCATATATATGAGGAAATTCAAATTAGCATTTGTTGTATTTTAAATCATGTTTAACAACCAAAAGGCTGAAATAAATTTTCATCATATATTATACATAAGTATTATTTTGTGCTTTATTATTTTTCCTAAATATGACATCAATTATGTTTATTTTGTGGAATCATTAGACTTCTGCCTGTGCATAACCACAAACCTTTTACTTTGTTGAGATTTTATCAATTGACAAAAATTCCTCTGCCTCATTTTGTATCACAAAAAGATTATATAATTTATGTTGAGTTTTGATTATAAAATTAAATATTCTTTCCTCTAAATGCCATGTTAAGTTTAAGACTTTAGGTTTTACATAAAGGTTTATAATTGAGCTGGTAATTTACATAAAGATTTCTAAACATAACTTTTTAGTTAAGAAATGCCTATAAGTGAAAATAAATGGTAAGAATTACCTTACATGCATATAAACCACATATTTAAAATAATGGTTAAGGATAATTAATAGTGACAGAAAATGCTTATAGTGTAAATGAAAATAGATGATATAAAACTATATAGAATATGTGATTACAGATTTTAAAATGCATCTGCATATGCTTGGAAAAGTTTATATGTAAACTCATACCATATCACTTATCAATTTATAAATAATATCAGTTGATCTGAGAATTATTTTGCTTTATTATACTTTATGTTTTTATAAGAAATTCATAATTTTTAGTGAGGGAAAATAAATAACAAAACCTGAAAACATAATTTCTCATCAATTATTACTTTATAGACTATGAAAACATAACACATTGTTTTTTATTTTAAATTATTAATATGATGAACTGTGGTTCTTTCCTTTAGAATAAAGGATAATTGTGTATTCTGTCTTTGGCGCTCTCCCACCTTTAGACCTCTCAGATATCCTACAGGTAGCCTTCTTACAGATAAGGACATATGTATTTCACCAAATACATATTCTTATTTAAGCTTTCATAAAAATTAATAGACATCCAGCTAATGCTTGTGATTGCCCTGTTTGGTGACTGTGAGCATTTATAGGAGGTAAAAGACCTTGAGGGTGTAACATTTATTGTGTATGAATTCTGTTTCTTCCCCCTTGGGTGCCCACTATTTTTAAATTCTCTGGTGAACTTGGCAGTGGTACTCCCTTTTCTTGAGAATACTCTGTGCTAAACATTTTCTTTACTTAGAATTACATTTTAACACTATTTTTAAGGGATACAGTCTAAAAAGGATGCAGTCTTCTTTTTTAGATTAAAAATAGATTTTATGATTTCTTAGAATGTATACATACATCTAAATGTAGTTATCACTGTTTTAATTATTATTTATATTACATCATGAATTGTAATGAGTTTGTTAAGGTAGTCATAGTTTTTTGCACATCTGCCTACCTTTTTTGGTTGTTGGTTTTATTTTTTTTTTTAACCATCTTAGCCATTTTCAGTAGCATTAGATATAATCACAGTGTTGTAAAATGCACATTTTATTTTTTAACTGCATGTTACAGTGGAGAAACGTTAGTGTTGTTTATGCCTAAGCTCTATTAAAATTATTTAAAAAATTTTTATCATCGCAGCCTATGATCCAATATTGATTTTAAGTTCATCCTCAACAAGTTATATAGTGGTTTTGACACAGAAATACTAAGACCTGCTGATATTGCACTTGGTTTGATTTTGCTTTTCAATTTTTCAGTAAGAAGCAGATCTTTTCCTCTTTCAAACTCAGTTAGTCAATGCTAAGTGGCTGGCTGCAGGGGGACATGTGCTTGCTGGCTGGAAATGCGTTGACAGCAGAATGCCACTATTTTAATGATATAGTCACGTAAGGGCATACTAAGCCAGAATAAAAACTTACTGTTCCACATGAAGATAATTTATTATCACAGCATTGTAAATAATCTTCCAGAGAATCTGTATATCCTTCAAAACAATGAAACCCCTAAAAGCTATGACATCTGTTTACTGTAGGTTTTGAAATTTATAAACCTTAATTTGGAATTCTTGATGAAAATGTCTGTAATGGAGATGAAAACTTAAAAAGCAGAATACTCCATAAATGATACTTCTCTAAAAGATATAAACCATTTTTATCTTATATGTTTATATATTACTTCTCAAGTCAACATAATAAGTACAGAGTTTAATAGAAGTCTTTTAAGTTTTAGACTCCTTGAATATTGCTAAGATAATAAATGACATGTGATAATGATGTGGATTTAATAGATAATGCTGTGAATTCAAAGGATAGAACTTTTAGCTTCTGGCCATGATAGAGTAACAGCGTTTAGATTTATATTCCTACTGTAAACTACTAACTGGTCAAAATATATGGGGAAAATCCCCCAGTTTCTGGACATTGGACAGCAGTCAGTGCAGCAGTGTGATTCCTCATAGCAAGGAACCAAAGGTGAGTGCTAGGATTTCCCTAGATTTCTCTCTCAAGGCACATTTCAGAATACAGAGCAGGATAGGACATCTCAAACTGAGCTCATCAGTGTTTCTGAGTTATAGAGACAGGAACTAAAGTTTAGGGAGGCAGAGAGAAATAAAATTCCAGAGATGGAGGAAGCTCTTCAGAAAAAGAGCTTCTGTTAGCGACAGTAGAGTTCTTGAGAATTTGCTGAATAACAAGACATGAATTCATGAGATGAAACCTCCCAGGGTTTGGCAAAGAATAACCTAGGAGTTGTGATCTTAATGATTCCCACTCTTACACAGGGCTGGAAGGCATTAAGTTCCTATTGTCCATCGTATATAATTCTCAATGGTTATTTAGGATATTCAGTAGAGACCAGAAGGACTATGCCTCAAAAGTGGGCTAAACTCTATAAAAGTTACCCTAGACTCACCTTAAGCAAGCTTGTAAATCAGCCTCTGAAGGAAACAAAATAGCAAGTAACTGTTACTATTAAAAGGAGTACAGTACTATTATAGCCCAACATCATTAAAAGGAATACAGTAAGTTCAAGACATACAACTTAAATATAACACTGCCAGACATTCAATCAAAAACTACCAGATGTGCAAAGAAGTGAGAAACTATGACCAGGAGAAAAACTAGCCAATAGAAATAGGCTGTGAAATGACACAGATGATAGAATTAGCAGGTATATTAAATATAGAGACAGGAACTAAAGTTTAGGAGGCAGAGATAAATAAAATTCCAGAGATAGAGGAAGCTATGCAGAAAAAGAGCCCCTGGTAGCAACAACAATGGGGCTAAAACAGATATCATAACTATGTTCAAGTATTTACAAGAAGTTGGACACATTGAGGAGAGAAATGGAAAATATATAAAAGAGCCAAACCCAACTCTAGAGATGAAAAATAAAATATCTGAAATAAAAATTCAATGGAATTAGATGTAGAGTAATAGACATTGCAAGAAAAAGAGTTTAATGCAGACACAGTGATTGAAGACATAGTGATAGAAACATGCCAAAATGAAGCAAAAAGAGAAGAAAGGAAAAAAATGTACAGAGACTTATTGAACTGTGGGATGATAATTAATTATGGTTGTGAGGGTAGGGCTCACTGAAAGTTCACATTTGACCAGATACTTGAAGCAGGCAAGGGAATGAGCCATGTGGATATCTGTGGATAAATGATTTGGATACACACACACACACACACACACACACACACACACACACACCCGCCCCCCCCAACACACATATGCATAAATGATATACTGTAACCCCTTCATTTTATAATTAAGACTATTGGGTCAAAAAGAGGTCAAACAACTTTTCCAAGGTTAAAAGATATTTAATGAGATTTTTTTAAAAGTTGAAATTGCCAGAGTATAGGTACTTTATGATTATTTCCTTCTTTCGCTCTTTCTTTTATTTTCTTTCTTTCCTTCATGGCATAGCCAGTCCTGCAAATCAGGTCTATAGAATTTTTGTTATCTACTCTTTCATCTCTAATACCTAATATATAGCCACCGAACTTTAGTGCCTTTTTTTTTTTTTGCCAAGGAATTACTCTAAATTTGCAGCCCAGTCCCATAACACTAAGATAGTCAAGGATTTTGCATCAGAGTTACCAAGATGGATACTACTAAGAAAT